TTCTTCCTAAATATGATTGTATGCAGTATGAGTCAATTAAAGACATGAAGGTATGCTTGAAAGCCGACATTCCAATCATTATTTTAGTAGTCTTAGTAGCCCAGGTTGTATTATGATTTTAAGTCACGTAAATGGTTATGTTTCTACAGGCCTTAGATGTGGTTGTTGAGTCTTACTTTGATGGTCGGTTATACAAAAATAAGATCTGGACGGGCACTGTTGAAGGTCGAGAATATTTACGGTCTACAAGTGTCCATTTCTTTGTACATCTTTTGCATGTAGGCTTGGCGATATCATATTTAGTTGCTTTTATTTTTCAGGCCTTCCTGTCTATTTCATTGAGCCTCAACATCCTGGTAAATTCTTCGGGAGAGGACAACTTTATGGGGAGCACGATGATTTCAAACGATTTTCATTCTTTAGCAGGGTAGCACTTGAGTTACTACTTCATGCTGAAAAGAAACCAGATATAATTCATTGCCATGATTGGCAAACAGCTTTTGTTGTAAGATGGATTCCAATTTTTCTTTACCTTTTAGCTCCTGTTTTTCATACATTCAGGACTCTATTATTTCATGAAGGCACCACTTTATTGGGATCTATATGTGCCAAAAGGATTGGACTCAGCGAGGATTTGCTTTACATGCCATAATTTTGAGTATCAAGGGACTGCACCAGCATCAGAATTAACATCTTGCGGTCTTGATGCTTATCACTTGAACAGACCAGACAGGATGCAGGACAATTCCGCAAATGATAGAATAAATTCCGTGAAGGTAGCAAGATATATGATGATAAGTTGTTCTAACTGATTTTTGTGGCTCCATTCCTTCCATGTCAACTTTTTAATATGCAGTGTATGTGGTTCTTTCTTGTTGCAGGGTGCAATTGTGTTTTCTAACATTGTTACCACAGTTTCACCAACTTATGCTCAAGAGGTCCGGACTGCTCAGGTATGGATTTCATTTCCCTAGGCACCTTCTCTCACCTTCTGTCTTCGTGCAGCAAGCAGTCATGTTTTTAATCATATACTTTGGTAATAGGTTACTCTAGTGAGACACGATAGGTTTTGTTTGAAATGCAACTTAAATGGGACTTTTGAACCATAGTTTCTGCAGGGCCTCAACTGACCTGTTGTTGCCAATTTTCATCAGAAGAAAAAAAAGATCTGTTGTTGCCAAAGAGTCTCAAAATATATATCTCTTTGTTTCCTTCTTCACTCGTTCCTTGTCTTTCTGGTCTCAAAGAGGCTGAATATTCCCCTGTTGACATCAAGGATTGGTTTGAAAATCTAAATGTCTTCTGTAAACAATTGACTGGTGACATCCTTGGTTTTATAGGTCCAATGATCATGTCTTTTGAGTCTTCATTTGATTTAAGTTAGCCATCTGGCCCATATATTTTCAAGATGGTAAAATTTTCTACTTTTGACCAAAACTATAGAAGACTTTGAAGCTTAATTCGTGTAGACCTGATATTTGACTCGATCAAAAAGCTTATTCGAGATCTGAAAAGTCCAAAGGTGGTTTGGCGGAAGTATCAAGTTCTCTTTAAAAATTGAGTGTGCACATGCATTTGAGTTCTAAGCTTTATCTCATATGATACATGATGATCGTTGGGTGTGTAGAATGATCTAATTTGCAAGGTGAATATATAAATTACTTGTGCATGGTTCAAGTAAATAATCCCATTCTCCTACTAGGCGAGGAAAAAAGTTACTTTAGCAATCTTTTTTATATAAGATAAATGTTATTTGATTGAAGCTAGTACCAAGAAGGTACTGAGGACACTTTGTAAATCTGTTATCATGTTTAGACAATCCTTTTCCTCTTTCTTTTACAGTCATCACTTTACACCTTGCTTGATGAATTTCTGCCTCTCAGTCAATTTTCATTTATGATGTACAGGGAGGAAAAGGACTTCATGCAACAATTAACTCCCACTCTAAGAAATTTGTTGGAATTCTGAATGGAATTGATACTGATGCTTGGAATCCTGCTTCTGATAATTTTCTTAAGGTCCAGTATAGTGCCAGTGACATAGAGGGGAAATTAGAAAATAAAGAAGCTTTAAGAAGACTTCTAGGGCTCTCTTCTTCTGAAATTAGACGACCATTGGTAAGAATTTCCTTTATTTAAAAGAAGTTATGGTTATGATCTCAGTAAACTTTTTTTTATCAGTAAATGATTATGATCTCAGTATTATACTGCTACAACACCAAAATGCTTTAGTTAGTTTGCGACTAACCTTTTAATTATGAGTTTCAGTACAAAAACAATTACTTCTTCCGTCCCATTTTATGTGACCAGACTGGATTTAAGAAACAAAAAGATCTTTGACATGTAAGCCAGATATATGCAAAGTGTCAGCTTTTAAATGATTGGTGGTGAGATTTTCACATGTCTTTTCATTTTGTCTTTCCTTATAAAAGAATAAACTTTTATATCAAGTGGGTCCCAACTAGGCATGTCATTAAGGGTAAAATGGGATGCTAAGATAAATAGTTTCCAAAAGAGAAATGTGCCATTCATTTTGGGATAGACTAAAAAATAAAGTGTCACTTAAAATGAGGGACAGATGATAGCAGTTACTGTTTGCACTCCAATTGAATTCAGGGCCTCCGAGTTTGGATTTGGTGGAGAAAAGGTTTAAAGATCAGAATACTGCTGAAACTACCATTGGTTTCAGAGGATTCCACAAATGTGAATTTTCTGAACATATCAAAAAAAAAAAACACTAAGTGATGACTCTGCTCAGTGCCGGAGCCAGAATTTTCACTAAGAGGGGTCAAAATACAAAGAAGTAAACCCACGAAGAAGTCAACGGGAGTCAATATATTGTATATACACATAATTAAAAAATATTACCTGTACATAATGTAATTTTCTGACGAAATACATGTGGCTCCCCACCGACTCTGTTTATCACTTACTGAGTCCATGAGCGAGACTGTAAAGAGGCAGATTACGTGCATAAATAAATTTAGTCGGAAGTCTTCAGCCTAACCTTAAAATCTGACTATGAATTCTCTAGATCTGCAAGGCGTGCTGGTGGGTTTTCCTAATCATTTATATCGGCCATGTGTCGTTTTATTTCATTGTATCTTGCATAATCCTTCTCTCAAGGTAATATTGTTCAGTCCATTATGTCACGACCCATTTTCTGAACAAGCCGTGACCGGCACCCGATCACTAAACTTGACCGAGCGAACCATCTATGCTTATCAAATCTATTATAACTTCAAACTTTATATTCAACAAGGCAACACTTTAACCAAATACTTTTAATTAATTTAAATATCTAAAATAAACCAACTCCAAAACTTTATTCGTAGTAACCAATGAAATGCTGCTAAGTTATTATCAAAAACATCTGAATCTTAACCCACCGACTGTGTCTATGAAGCCTCTACTTATAAACTGACGCACTGCTCAGGACATGAGATTGTCTGGCATAATTAAACAAAGATGACTCTAAGGAATACTCCACGAACAAAAACGGAGCTCACCAATAGCACTGGAAGAGAGGAAAGTCCTAACCTGTAGCTTGCTCGCCTGCAAAACCGGTTCCTACGTTGTACCGCAGACCAACGTAGGTTCCCAAAAGAGAACGTCAGTACCATCCATTGTACTCAGTAAGTCTCAACGACAGGGGACGAAACTTTAATAAAATATACATTATGAGCAAAGATTCTAAATGCATGGAAAACATAAAGCTTATAAGAACAATTCTAAAATAATTGCATAATAGCAGTTTATGAATATTCTAAAAGAAATTCTTTTCTTTTTCTTTCTTATAAAAAAAATACTTCACTTTATACTTCGGGAGTTCCAACTATCCTGGCTTAATTCTGTCTCAGTCACCGTGTGATCAGCACGGGTTCGATCCCAACCTGATCGAATAGGCCCAATCCATGAGGTGCCACTCGCTTCATGATTCTCAGCGCTCATGTGTCATACCTTAGATGGCTAGGTAAATTCTTAGCAACGAGACCCTCGGCTCGTGTGCTCCCTACTTTGGCACAAGTAGTTTTAGGAAGTCAACGCCATGATCAGGACCCTCGGCCTGGACGATGACCCCTTCTCAGAATAGAGGATACTCCCAAAAATCTTTTCTTACTAAAACTTCTTCTTGTGACTTTTCAAGTCTAAATCCTTTCTGGAACATCCTATACATACTCATACTGTTATCCTTAAACGTAAAGCATGGCATAAGAATGAAATAAACATTCAAAAGTATTTCTAAAAATTCTTGCTTCTTCATAAATTTTCAACATGAAAATGGCATATAAGAATAATACAAAAATCTGAAAATTTATGCACATATATCATAATAAATCATCTAAACTTTTGCTAGAACAATTCTAAGTTAATAGGTACTCACTCGCTCCAATTAAGTACATATAAACTCTTTTAAGCAATTCATCAAACACCTTGTATGCGTGATTTTGTGAGTTAAACCACTTTAGTAAAGGGTTATATCAACTCACCTCAAAACTCCTTGAGCCAATACGCAGGGCCCAATCCAATTTATACCCGTCAAACAGTTGATTCTACAACAACCAGTGCATTTTAATCAATTTTAAAGTTTCTCACCTAAACATGAAATTTACTGTTGATACAGAGAAAGAAGGGAATTAACTAATCAATTCTTACCTATTACCACTGTAAGATAATTGACAATAGGGAATTTTATATACCTGAGTTCAAGAATTAGTGATTTGTAAAGAACCCTAGAATTTTGTTTTCGTTGCCTGCGTGCCTTGCGTGACAGAACAACGTTTTGTTTCTGTTTAATCCTTAAAGCCCTTTGTTTAATCCTTTGCCTTAAAGGGCTAAGGCTTGTCATGTGCTTCCTTATTTTTTTTTTGTTTTTCCCTTTTTTTTTTTTTGGTTTTGACTTAACTAATATTTAATTAAACCTACTTTTAATAATTAATAATATTAAAATTATTAATATTCCCCTAATTGTATATCCAATTATTTATAAACATAGAAGTAACTCAAAAGTCAATCTCAAGGGTTTAAATCCGTAATAGAAGTATAATTTAAGATTAAAAGAAAAAAATTAAATTCTATATTTAGCATGTGTTGAAACTTTTATAGATTTGAGGAGTGTTACAATCTTCCCTTCTTAAAAACATTCGTCCTCGAATGTTGCTAGTACTACTCACTTGAACTTCTTAAGTTTTCTTAGCACTACTCACTTTCCCAAGGGACTTAAAATTTTGGCTAACTCCCTAAATTTTCAAAAATTTCGGCAAACTCCCGTGTAAATTGGACTATCCAAAAAAACTATCCCTGTCACCAATACCACAACTACACCAACAACAACTAAATATACCATAACAGGCCATTCATAGGCACCATACACAACTCATAGACTAATTACTCACACTCCGGCAAGGAGGTACCACAATAACCAACCAAAATCTAAAGCACAACACTTCAGCAACAAGTAAATAACTTTAATGCATTAAATGTACTCTGGCATTGTACTAAATTATTTAATAACTAAATATACTCTCACAGAAACTAAATTACTTCAACAACAAAGTGTAATCTAGCAAGGACATAAATACATGCTAACTTGTATTTAATAAATGAAATATAAATGTCAAGCCAAACCTAGGTTCACATACCTTGTTCTTCAAATAAATAAGGATACTTCTTCATATCTTCCTCGACCTCCCACGTAGCCTCTTTTGAATCATGATTACTTCACAAAACTTTTACCGATACTATATCTTTTGTTCTCAACTTTCTTACTTGCCTATCGAGAATTTCTGTAGGTACCTCTTCATATGCGACTCATCATGAATATATTTTCTAAGCATAGACACATGAAAGACAGGATGAACAGAGGACAACTCAACGGGCAACGCTAGCTCATAAGCCACGTTTCCCTTCTTTTCTATAATCTCATAAGGTCCAATAAATCTAGGACTAAGTTTCCCTTTCTTACCAAACCTCATTCCTCCTTTCATTGGTGAAACTTTCAAAAACACCTTGTCACCAACCATGAACTCTAAGTCACGATGCCTCTTGTCAGAATAAGACTTTTGACGACTCTGAGCCGCTTTTAGTCTTTCTCTGATTAGCTGTACTTTCTCTAAGGCCTCACAAACAAACTCCGGATCAATCAATGGCATCTCTGCTGGTTCAAACCAACCCACTGGAGACCTACATCTTCGCCCATACAACGCTTCATAATGAGCCATACCAATGCTGGCCTGATAACTGTTATTGTAAGCAAATTCTATAAGTGGCAAGTGATCATCCCAATTACCTCCAAAATCTATAACACATGCTCGCAGCATATCTTCGAGAGTCTGAATGGTCCTTTATGCCTGACCATCGGTCTGTGGATGAAAAGCGGTGCTCAAGTTGACCTTGGTATCTAATCTTTTCTGAAATGCCTGCCAAAAATGCGCCGTGAACTGAGGGCCTCTGTCAAATATGATTGAAACTGGAGTGCCATGCAATCAGACTATTTCTTTGATGTACAACTGCGCATACTGCTCTGCGGAATCTGTCGTCTTTACTGGTAGGAAATGCGCGGACTTTGTCAGTCGGTCTACAATAACCCAAATTGAATCATGCTTACGGTATGTGCGAGGCAGACCTACTACGAAATCCATATTAATCATCTCCCATTTCCACTGTGGTTTCTCTATAATCTTGAGCTAGGCCACCAGGCCTCTGATGCTCGGCTTTGACTTGCTGGCAATTCAAACATTTGGCCACATGATCTGTTACTTGCTTCTTCATGCCTTTGCACCAATACAACTCTTTCAAGTCGAGATACATTTTGGTAGAACCTGGGTGGATAGAGTACTTCGAGCTGTGAGCTTCTTCCATTATGGCCTTCCTAAGACCATCTACATCAGGCACACATAACCGATCATTCAACTTCAAAACTCCATCACTTCCTAGAGTGAAAGCAGTGATTTTTTTGTTTCTAACTCCTTCTTTTAACTTCACTAAGTACGGATCTTCGTCTTGCTTAGCCTTAACATGCGCAACAAGAGAGGATTGCGCTAAGGCATAAGCAGTTATACCTCCTTCTTCGGTCTCATCCAATCTAATTCCATCATTTGCTAGTTTTTGAATTTCTC